CAGACATGCCAAAAAGGAGGAATTGGTGTGTTTACCCCTCTGGTGTGAAACAAGAGAGGGGAATATGTGGCAGTGAGGTCCTGCCATGGTGTAAAAAGACAGTCTGGGCCAGGTGGGAGAGGGATATGGGGAGGCAATGGAAAGGGGGGGGGGGGGGGGGGGGAAGAAGGGTGGTGGGATGAGAGGGGAATGGGTAGGTATTTTTAGTCTCTGCGATATAGTGGGAGATAATATAGCCTGGAGAAGTCCTAGAGAACGAAGGAGAAGACATGAACAAGAAAGGAGGAGAGAGGGGACGGAGAAGGATAGGAGAATAAGGGAAGAATGGAAGAGATACATTTCGTAACTTATGTTAATGGATTAAATAGCCCTGGGAAGAGATTTGGGATATTTAAAGAGATCCCATATATATTGTCTTTAGTGGTTTTCTTACAGGATACACATTTGGGGGAGAGAAACAAATGAAATTAAATTCTAGATATTATCCCATTGTGGTTCTATGCAGATTCCACAATTACAAGAGCTAAGGGGAGTGGCAATAGGTTTTGTGAAAAGTATAAGGTTTAAGTTGGACAGATTAGTAGATCCTGAAGGGAGAGATCTGTTTTTGAAGGGAAAACTACAACAAAGATTGTACACTAGCAAATATTTATTGTCCAAATAAGAAACCGGAGATACTTAATACTCTGCCTTTTTTGAAATCCATTAATTTTTTCAGTTTAATTGTGGCAGGAGATTTTAATCTCTGTATGGACCCTCAGATATGACGTCTCCTGTGCAGAGGGAGGAGAGTAGGTCTCCGAGATCCTTGAATAAAATGATATTTCAAATGTCAACTTGTAGATATATGGAGAATTAAGCATATGATGAAGGATAGACTATACGTTTTACTCCCATGCACACGAGATTTATTCAAGATTGGATTATATATTGCTGGAACATCAACTTATTGAGGCTTTAGTTAAAGTAAAAATAGAAGTGATGTCAATATCAGACCATGCTCCCGTCACAATGCAATTATGGGGAAAGGAGTTGAATGGGGGAAAGTATGGAGGTTAAATGAAACACCTCCAGGATCAAGAGACAAATCAAAGAATCAAAAAAAAAAAAAAAAAAAAAAAAAAAAGAGCAATTTTTTGAAGAAAATGATACAGGGGATGAGTCTGTAGCAATGGTATGGGAGGCTCATAAGGCCTATATTAGAGGAATCCTAATCTCGATTGGAGCAAAGAAGAGGGAAAGAAGAGAAAAAAATGATGAATGCACTCCTCAGGGAACTCTGAAAAAAAATGAATTCAACAAAACAGAGAATTAAAATCTAAACCTTCCAAATAGAGAGAAAAATAGGATACAAGAGGAATTTCCCTTTGTTTGGAGAGAATAAAATTCAAATATCTAGAATAAAATTAACTGTTTCCTCCAAGAACTTATGATTAAACTATATCCCATTGTTAAATGAGATCAAGGATGAACTAAGGAAATTAGGTGGGGGGAACCCCGTCGTGGATTGGTCGTATAAATTTGATAAAAATGGTGATTGTTCCAAATATTTTATAAATTTCAAATGATACCAATTAAACTACCAGAAATACAGAACAATTAAAAAAATGGATATTTGGAGGAATAAAAATCCAAGAATAAACCATGAAATTTTATGTAGTAGAAAAAAGAGAAAGGTGGACTGGGAGTACCAGATTTGAAAAGATACTATAACTCAGTAATAATGGCGAGAATTTATGACTGGACATAATGGAAAAGGGAAATGCTGGGTTAAAATAGAAAATATACCAAGTAATACCAAATTAAGTAGAAGTGTATGGTTACCTTTGTAGCAATTGTGCATACAGAGATCAGACGCGGTCACCCATCTTGCTAAGGATCCTCCATCTTTTATCTCTCTCCAAATCCCCCCTCCCTCTCTGTTGAGAGACACGTGGTCCCTGGATGCTGAGTTCAAAAAGGCATCAAGGCCCAGCGGGAGAGCTCATGGTTATAAACCCCAATTAGCCTGGCCCCCGTATGTCTGCTAACTCTTACTGGAAAAGGATTGTAAAGCCAGTCAAGTCCTTCACTGAGCTTCAAAGATATTCCAGATAAACCGTAAACCAGATATCATATTCAAAATCCATTTTCCCCCTATGATTTCACATCTTGGAATATGAAAGACTTGCATAAGAACCAGGCATATATTCAGACCGGTCACTTTAATACAAGTCGTCTGATATATTACACCCCCTAGCTGACATCTACAGGAGAGCAGAAAATGATATCTCCTTAACAGTCCCAGCAGGTATGTCATATTTCATAGCTAGACGTTTAGCAGATTAATCTACTCGTGGATAGAATGTTGCATGTATCCAGGGAAAGTTATTGCCCTGGTGTCAACTTGGGAGGGATTTTGGTTCTAGCTTGGGTCTCCGCCTGCAACACTCACCCAAATGAGGCAATTGGTTCTCAGCAGGGTGTGTCTCCCTGTAGCAGAGTTCCTAGAAAAGCTAAGCTTAGTTGAAGTAGCTCCCTTTTAACATCGGAACTAAATTTTGGGAGATAAGGCCCTTCTACTCTGACACTTGAAAGCTGCTTAACCCAGGACTTTTGGCAAGTACTTTATCTTGCTAAATTCCTCTGATCTCTTTGCTGTGCTATTGCTCTCTGTATAATTATATATAGGCTACATCTTTCTCTGTAAATATTTTTATTGCACCCTTTTGACCTTTTAGTAATAACTTACTTTCTGAAAGTGTGGAACTGTTTCTAAAGCTCTTTAATGCAAACTAAGAACCAGTTTCTGAAGAACGCTACTGTGTGTTTAAACCTCTATATACCCTGACTGCGATGACAATGGTATACAGATGATTATTCAACAATCATAGTGTTATTGCTAATATTGCCAAGTTTCCTCTCTGTACAAAAAGGAGGTGGTGGCAGTGTGAAGGGTTAATTGCATAATTAACCTGACCCAGTAACAATCGCTCTCAGGCTGAAGACACAGATTGTAGTCCATTAGCTGGAAAAATCTTTGTGCAGGGTGCAGCTGGGCATGGCATTGTTACGCACGTGACAGCGTGGTTTTAGATTGGCTAGTCCTTCGGTCACGAGTTTGGTGAGAAGGGCTGGGGTCTGACGCCACGATTGTCTCAACAACCTTCACAATACCGAGGATTAGCAAATAGCACAAGTGTGTTCACATTACAAGTTTCACATTAAATGTTTTAAGAGTTTGGGATGTTTTACACAAACAGATGGGAATTGAAATCATTGTTAATGCACGTAGGAACAACATTTTCCCCCCCCCCCCCCCGGGGTAAAGGTATCACAAGGAAATGGATTAAGAAGGAAGATGCACATTTATGGGATATAATGGTGGGGTAGGAAATGGGTTCACTTATGGAATTGGAAAAAAAAAAAAAAAAAAAAAGAGAAATTTTCAAGAGAATGGATGAGTGGCGTTATTTTCAATTGAAACATTTTGTAGGGAAGCTGCCAAAGCCTTTAAGAACAAGAGAGGATTGGAACTCCTTTGAGTGTTTATTAGACACACAGGGAGATGGGAAACACGGAACTTCTAAAATATAGAAGATTCTCACTGAAAAAAAAAACACAGAAGACCTCCATATATAGAAAAATGGGAAAGGGATATAGGAGTAATAGATGTGGAAAAAGAGGAAAATGTATAGATTAATTCATGAAAATATAAATATGCAGAAGTAGAAATGAATTATAAATGTATGGCAAGATGGTATATTACACAGAGTTTGGCACATAGATTGAGTGGAGATAATTCACCTTTGTGTTGGCGGGGATGTGGAGGTAGAGGCACTATGTATCATATGGTGGGAGTGTCCTAGAATACAAGAGTATTGAGAGGCAAGTCTCTGGGTCTAATAGAATATCAACCTGTAATTTTCTGAATCAAGCTCACTATTTTCTTTCATAATACCAAGCTTTCAGTCAAAAAATATAACTGAAATGCAGCAAAGGGTTTGATACCCAAGTTCGAGGAGACAGGAGGTGCCGAAAATAAAAGATTGGGTTGACAGGGTGGCTCAAATATGTAAATTAGAGGAACTGTACCATATGAATGAAGATCAGATGGAGAGATATCATAAGATGGAATGGGAGGAAGGAATTTAAAAAGTCAAAGTTAAATTATAGAGTTTATGGGGGACTAACACAGAATATGGTTACACTTTAAAACATTGACACATTTTCCATAGATTTAGTGTAAAGAGTATGTTTCTACAAAATAGTTTCTGAAAAAAATCAAATATTAAATGAAAAAAAAAATATATATATGACTGCACTGCTGGTTCAACATCAGGCAAGTTCAGCACCTTGCCCACATTTTCTGGAGTCATTGAAAGAAGAAGTAACTTTACAACCTTCAAGGATTGTGGTGAATGGCAAATAAGCAAACCCAACATACAAGTGGGGGAGATATAGTCCTTTTGGAGGAAAAGAATACTCACCATGACCATTGGCCTGCGGGTCTTATTTCAAAGACTGTGCCAAATAATTATGGAAAGGTTTAGAAAGTAAAGGTAATTAAGGAAGGATTAGCATGCCTCTGCGTCAGGCCTATCAAACTAGTACTTTTCTACCAAAAGGAAAAGGATTTGTTTTCTACACCAACAACTTTATTCAAAGAAATGAAAGAAAGACCAATGCATGTTGCGGCCTTCTTCTCTGAAGGATTTGATTCATTGGGAGGAAAGGATGGCTGGTGCATGTTGCTTCCTTCCCTCCCACAGAATGTTTTCTGCACCATTTAACAGCCACAAGTAATGACTTTGCAAATTTCCACCCCCACCTCGATCCCCAAATCACCACCACTGTTTGCACAATTTTAGAAATAAGAATTTCCAGAAGACTAAACTTTATTTTCTCCATTTAGATATTTTTTTCAGTTGTGTATTTTATTGAATGTTCTGTTACTGACACCACTTGCTCTAGTCAACTGGAATAGCCAAACAAAATGTAACCAGTGCTTTGGTTCTTACTTGATCAAAGAAGCCTCCTGGTCCGAGGAGTTTCGTTCTTGCAAAGGTATTTATTTCCAGTGTGTAGCGAAGGTGTGGAATTATAAGCTAGGAAAAAAGTAAAAAAAAAAAAAAAAAAAAAAAAAAAAAAAACACTGTTATAAGAGATCCAGCTGTATACGATATTTGCTTTAGGCTAGACATGCAAATCATTTTAGGGTACCTTACTTTGTAATTGCCTTCTAACAATTTAAAGCTGAACTTTTCCCACCATGAAAAATCTATCTAACCTGGTTTCACTAGCATAGGTATAAATGCCGAATCCCCATTTTAATGGAATGTTTTTGGAAAGGTCTCTGAAAAACAGGGTCTCACCAAGCAGTCTATCAGTTGAAATGGGTCTGGTTCAAGGGAGGGATTTAGGAACGACCTTGCAGCTATGCCATTTAACAGAACTCGGAGCAACCTTCATTTGTGTGAAGCAGGCCATTGAAGGATTGTGATCTCCAGAACAGCAGCTTAGTGTGTCTCCGTTTTATATCTATACCAGCCAGGCTGAGTGTTCCTGCCCAGTGCCCATATACACAGAATATCTGCAGTCTCTAACCGTCTCCTGTAGTATGTCTGCAGTCTCTGATCATATCTTGTATGAAGTCCTCAGTCTCTGACCATCTCCTGTAGTATGTCCGCAGTCTCTGACTATCTCTGACAATAGGTCCCAGGGAAGCCCAGGCCTAAAGCTGTGCAAGGGGACCCAAAATTTCTGATTGCTGCCCTGGCACCATCAAGTAGGAAGTGATATCCAACTGCAGTGGGTGTCGCCCCCATCCGTGCCAGCAGCACACTGATCGGCTTGCCAGCACCAACCACATCATTTTCAGGGGTCAGTTTGGGTTGCACACCATGACTGTGCTGCTGACCTGAAACTAGCCTGCCCAGTGGCAAGCTTGACAGTAGAGAGCCTGTGGGGAGGAGGGGGTGGCATCATGATTTACTGTACCAGGTGACACCAACCCTATTGACACCACTAGCAATGACATCATCACTGTATAGCACATAACCTGTGCAGAGAGCATAGCTCTGTAAGGGGCCCAGCAGGTCCACCCACTACAGGCTGCCTGCAGAAAATTACAGGAGCAAGGCAGATGCAAGACCAGTCACCCTGCACAAAAATGAGAGAGCAGCAGTCACTGGTCTTTGTTACTGTAGTAGATCCTACACAGGATTACTGAACATATCTAGAAATACACAAAGCACACCAAACATTTAAGTAGGAATACACATTCCTATAGTATTTAGACAAAAACTGCTTTTTCAGTAGTTCAGTTTTAAAGAAGCAGCAATACACTTTCAATACCAAGGAGATATGGGAGCATGACGGTGGCTGTGCTCATGACCTTGACAGGCATTCCCTATATAAAAATCGGCCACAGAAGTACCCGTGCTACCCTGAAGTGAATGTCAGTAGGGGATGATGGCTGTGGGATTACTGCATACAGGCTGAGATGTTATTAGATTTCAACTTACATTTAAGTTTGAGCAACATACAAAAGATTTTAATTCACACTACAGTTCAGCTTTAAGTAAGAAAATCCTTATAGTTATTAGGCATGCATGTTTGAATTTACATCCAAACAAGTAGTTGAACTTTCAAAATCTTTGTACATCTTCCAACACAATAGCAAGAGAAGCATATTTAGAGAGCATTTTACCCATAACATGATCAAAAACGAATGTTCTTTAGCAAGCAACATACATTCCACATTAATTATGCTACTAAAATTAGTGTGTGCTGCAAATTGCCTCCAGCATGGTTCCTGTTTCTTCTTGCTGGAGGCTGCCATTTTGCTGAAGGCTGCCATTTTGCTGAAGCCCAGAGTCCAAGCAGCAGTAAAGCTTTAGGCAGATCAGCCTCTACATTTTCAAGACAGTGCCAAATATAGAGAGCAACTGAGCATGTTTAGAACACCATGACACTGTTGGCTGCTGCACCAATAGGACCACTTTAGGTTTGTCCTCATTACAGCTCACTTGGCAATAGGAGACCCCCCCCCCCCCCACATCTATAGGCAACAGCTTCTATCTGCTGGTCATTGTTTCCATAATACAGCACTGCTTTAAGTTGACACTATTACAATCCGGGGAGTACTATGCTACACATGTGACCACAATGTTTCTATACCCGGGAACACAGTTTACACACATCTGATATGGTTTATTTTCATAATTTATGCATTTTTGGAGAGAACATGACATCATGGGGTGGGGCCAGGCTCATCTTACTTCACTCTGATTGGTGGATGGTTTTCTAAAATAGTTCTCCAGCTTCTGTCACAAGCCTGATGAAGGGGTCCTGCGAGACTCTGAAACATTGCCTTGCTGTAACTATGTGATCGTTCAATAAAAAACTATTGGACCCATATTGGTGATCCTTGGTGTGCTGCTGGTGACATCCTCCCTTGCTGATCCTTACGTTCCTAACATTACCCAGTCCATATCAGTATAGATATCCAGCATGATAGTTTCCCCCATCTTATGTGTTTCCAAAGGGTTCCTTTAGTTTTTTTGAGCAGTGTATAATAAATAAAAATACACTAAAACAAATCTGTTCAACCAAAGTTTTGCCTATACACAATTCAACTATTGGACCCTACAATCCTTTACCAAAACGTCTGCAATTAAGATGATTTGCCTTACACCATGAATTGCTTTCAATTCTACCAATGAACAGTAAAATATCTGTCAAACATCTCAATGAAAGTAATTCCAGACTTTTTCACCTTATACACTGGGTGCCCCATTGGAAGTTGCCTCGTAGTTGCAATTGAGAAGACCTCAGCTAAGAGATGGGTGCGGAGAAGGTGAGCGTCAGCTTCATGTACCTGGAAATCAGCACTACGCACCCAGATCTTGGCCAATAACCAGTCATATTCCGAGTCGCTGGGCAAAAAGATGGGAACATTTTTTCCAGGGGTCTGAGATAACTGGAATACAAAAAAGATACAGGATTTACTGGCCACAAAATATGATAAAAAAAACAAAAACCCTATAGTTTACTTTTAATTGATGTTTATATTACATTGATAGATTTTTTATAATGGGTCAGGCATGACAAACTCTGAAAACGTGTTTACTCTCAGCAAGGACAGCTGAAGAAAAAGGAAGGGAAGAAAGGAGGAACCTAGAACAGGTCAGCCTTGGTAAACAGTCTATAACAGAGCTGCTTGGGCAAGGGGGGCCTTGGAACACATCAGTCTGATTATAAGAGGAGCCTGGAACTAAACAATTTAGTGAGTCTGGAACAGAGCAGGCTGGGAAAGAATCTACAAAACAGTGTAGGGAAAGGGGGACCCTAGCCCAGAGCAACATCAGGAGAGGAGTTATTCAGGTGGCAGAGAAATGGTAGCAACATTACATGTGAAAAAAAAACTAAACTCTTCTTCAGCCGTACAAGATTCTAGTAGTACCTGGGATACCCATGTATAGAAAAAAAAAAAAAAAAAAAAAAAAAAAAAAAACTCCACTTCGTGTATAAAAATGGCCTGTTCATAAAGGACAATTTAAGTAATTGTGTTCTTTGCTTAACTGTTCATGAGACTACATTTTCACCAGCTCTAGCGTGCCTATCCAGCTTCCTGCACATTTCTATGGGCTTATGTGAGAAGTGCCTCACTAACCAGTTGTAAGGAGTGGGGTGCATATAAGTGTGCCATACTAGGAGGCAGACTCAGGGTGCTCTTCAGAAATAACAAATGTGATGAAGAGCCTTATATGCAGATTACCCGATTTTATTCCTGGGTGATACCCACTAGCCTCCTTTAGATCACTTACACATTTGGGCTCTCTGAAATAACAAATAGTGGGGATAAATCCACCCTGCTACCCAATGATCCATTGACAACCCTACCTGACTGTGCTCAGTATGTAGTTAAAGTGATATTAGTGGCTCTTTTTTTTTAAATAACAAACATTTCATACTTATGTGCAACGGTTTTTTCACAGAGTAGCCCAAATACTCTTCTCAGGTCCCCTGATGGTGGCTTCTGGCCCCTCCTCACTGCTAAGTGCCCCAATAGCAGAGATCTCATTTATAGGAAGGGCCACTCCAGGATTAGGCGAACAACCCAGCAGCTTCTGAAAGATGAGGGTTGTCTAGCCATCCCACATCAATGGAGTTACTTTGTAGCTTCTCAGCTACAACCAGGGGCGGACTGACAACTCATGGGGCCCCCGGGTCCTTGCCCAAACTCAAAAAAGCTTATGAAAAAGGGTACCAGGGGCATCTCATGGGGCCCCCTACTGACCCCGGGCCCTCGGCAGTGCCCGAGTTTCCAAATGGTCAGTCCGCCCCTGGCTACAACAACTGGTGGGGTCTTCTAGTGTTAATTGGCATAACTAACTAACCAATCAGTACTGTTACCCTGTATGTAAAATACATGGTTACTGGAGGCCCTAGAAGTAGGCTTCTTGTCAAACAGTTCTGACCACTTGATCCTGTTTCTTTTATTTAGGTTGTAGGCTTCTTTTATATTGGATCTAAATATGAAAGCTTTAATGCTTTCACCCCTGAGAAAAGCACTATTTACCAGAACCCAACATATTATGCATCTCCATCACCTGTATACTGATTCCACTCAAATCATTTCAGAGACTCAGGGAACAATTTCAACTCCCACAAAATAGTTTCTCCAATTCAGACATGCATCATCAACGCAATGAAAGACATTTCCTCTGAGACCTCACAATGTTTCCCTATGTAAAGAAGATCTATTTTCTGTCATTGTGGGCTGTAACTCCACCTCTCAAAAAGCTGAAAGATATTAGCTTTCCCATGGGGGGGGGGGGGTTACAGCCTGCACTGAGCCGTTGACCCCCCCCCTCCCTCCATTCTGCAGCTGCTGTTTCCTCATCTCTCCTCATTTTACAGTGTCCAAAGCTGCAACTTGCTATTCAGTTTACAGACAGACTGGAAACTGTCAGCTTGTGCTGTGAATGATTGCAGCTCGAGAAGACACCAGCTGACAACAGCATACACTGGCTACCACACTAGTCCAATATTGCCTAGTATAATAGCTATTGTGCGGTATTTTCAGCTTGTGTTTTTGTGAATGGGACCTCTTTTGTCCAACTGCAATCATTCACAAACACAAGCTGACAGTTTCTACCCTCTATTCCCCTTTATAGCAGGTTGCAGCTTGGAATTCTGTGTAAAATAGAGGAGAGTTGAGGAGACAAGACAGCACAGATGTTGTGGCAGTTTGGGAGAAGCAGGGGTAGGGGCTGTGCAAGCTCTGTGTGCACTGCCTGTCATATCCCTCTAATCCTGAGCTGTCACTCAGAACTCCCTCTCCGTTCCTCAGTGGCATCAGATAACTAGGTGGGTGACCAGGCCATCTGACAACACAGCTCAGCAACCCCTGCACAGATTTAGATGGGGACAAATGCTATGTGCACAGAATCTCCTGGGGTGTTTAATAATCTTTTCTTCTAGTGATCTTTAAGCTAGTAGACCAGACTGAGTACATAAAGACTCATTTCCACTATTTACACCACCATACTTCTTTCAATGCATAATCTATTGTAATTTAATTTATAGTTTCCGAGCATGCAGGGTCTTGGTCACTTAATTGTTTTCGTACAAATACAGTTGTGTTCAAAATAGCAGTGTGTTGAAAAAGTGAATAAAGCTCAAAATCCTTCTAATAGCTTTTATTTCCATACACACAAATGCATTGGGAACACTACACATTCTATTCCAAATCAACATGAAGAAAAATATTTGTGTTACTCTAAAAAAAAAAAAAAAAAAAATTGAAGAAAAGTGAATATTAGACTGTTCAAAAAAAAAAATAGCAGCGTTTGTATTCTTCTGTACAAACTCAAACATTCACTATATAAACTTAAAAATGTTTGAAAATTTTGCTTTCCTTTGAATCACTTAATATTTAGTTGTATAAGCACTGTTTGACTCCATGCAACACAGATGTATAGCAGTTCTCAACCAACTTCTGGCACCTGTGAACAGGTATTCCAGCCCAGGATGATTGGACTACATTCCACAGTTCTTCTCTTTCTTGGTTTTGCCTCAGAAACTGCATTTTTGATGTCACCCCACAAGTTTTCTATTGGATTAAGATCCAGGGATTGGGCTGGGCCACTCCATAACGTCAATCTTGTTGGTCTGGAACCAAGATGTTGCACGTTTACTGGTGTGTTTGGGTCGTTGTCTTGTTGGAACACCAATTTCAAGGGCATTTCCTCTTCAGCATGGCCTCTTCAAGTATTCTGATGTATTCAAACTGATCCATGATCCCTGGTATGCAATAAATAGGCCCGAAACACCATAGTATGAGAAACATCCCCATATCATGATGCTTGCGCAACCATGCTTCACTGTCTTCACCGTGTACTGTGGCTTGAATTCAGTGTTTGGGGGTCGTCTGACAAACTGTCTCCGGCCACTAGATCCAAAAAGAACAATCTTACTTTCATCAGTCCACAAAATGTTGCACCATTTCTCTTTAGGCCAGTCAATGTGTTCTTTGGCAAATTGTAACCTCTTCAGCACGTCTTTTTTTTCAACAGTGGGACTTTGCGGGGGCTTCTTGCAGACAGCTTGGCTTCACATAGGCATCTAATTGTAACAGTACTCACAGGTAACTTTAGACCTTCTTTGATCTTCCTGGAGCTGATTGTTGGCCGAGTCCTTGCCATTTTGGCTATTCTTCTATCCATTCGAATGGTAGTTTTTTGGTTTATTCCACATCTTTCAGGTTTTGGTTGCCATTTTAAAGCATATGCGATCATTTTAGCTGAGCAGCTATCCCTATCATTTTCTGCACTTCTTGTTACGTTTACCCCTCTCCAATCAACTTTTTAATCCAGGTACGCTGTTCTTCTGAACAATGTCTAGACCGACCCATTTTCCCTCAGAATTTGAGAGAAATGCACTGTAACCACAACATTTGTACAACATTTGCTGCCTTCCTTAAATAAGGGCAATAATTGCCACCTGTTTTTCAAAGAATGAATGACTCTCACTAATAGAACTCCACACTGCTATTATTTTGAACAAGCCCCTTTCAATTAGTGATTCAATTACACAGAATCAGCAGCATGCATGTCATGACTGTTGGGTCTGTTGGATTTCTATTACTCTACTACACCTGCTAGTAAATTTGCCATGTAGAAATATCATTTCTACCAAAAACAGTGATCAGGTTAGCGATGTCTGACTGCCATTTTGAACACAACTGTACTATACTAATTACAGAAAAAAAAAAAAAAATTAATTAGTTATATTATGAGAAAAATTTTCATGTTTGTCCCTTCTGATGTTTTCACATGAACTGTTCTGATTGGCTTTTGAAAGCTGTGTACTAATGATCAGATTATCGGATATCACTACAAATGCGTTTTTTTCTAACATTCTAGTGATGGGTACAAGGCTTAAAGCTATAGATCTTTTTTCAAGTTACAATTTTAAAGTTTAATTATGTACAAATTTAATATTGCAGAAATGCAGTTATGGATATAAATAACTAAGTGAAAATACCTGGATGGCAATTGGGACAAGCTTATCCTGAGGATTCTTCCACAGTAGACACATTGGAGCTGCTATGTATTGTTGTTTTCCATTGATGGTATTAGCAGGAACACCCTGGAGAGCTTCATAATCTGCCAGGAAAATGTGACCATTCTGAAAGGTAACAAATATGAAATCTGCAATGAAGATTTAATTTAGTCTAGTCATGCACAAAAGCAAATTATTTTGTTACGTAGGATCAAACCACTGAGCTAATTTAAAGGGGAACGTTACTCTCAATCACCATTGACTTAACCCTTATGCTGCTAGCATTAAATAGGAAATTATATCATTTACTTCTTTTAAACCTTTTACATTTCTTCAGTTACTTCCTGGTTTCCAGACCTATGCAAATTATTATTATACAGGATTGATCTAGCACCAACAGTTTGCTCAGCGCTTTACAATATAATGGGAGACAATAGAGCAACAATACAGTTCAATACAAGAGTGTTAGGAGGGCCTGATCCTTGGACATTTCTTCAGTTACTTCCTGGTTTCCAGACCTATGCAAATTATGTCATACATCCCAGGATCCTTCAGGAGGGATGGAGGGGTTTTTCTTAGCTAAGCACACTCTCCCTGCCTCCATGCCTGAGCTAAGGGCAGATAGATTCCAGGAAGTAAATGCTACATGAATCTGCCCTTACTCAAGATGGTCATGGCCAGAAATGTTAGGGGGTGTTTTCCAAGTGATTGTTCAGCAAAATAAAGCATGGACACATGGATGGATGGGTAAGTTTGCTTTGAATATTGAAAATGAATTTGTTTTTGGTTTGTAATGGTCAGATGCAATGTAGCCCTGCTGTAACCTCCCTGGCGGTATTCCCGAGTGTAGCTCGGGGCAAACTTTCAGTACCACAAGCGGTAACCCCGAGCTATACTCGGGCTTATCATGCGGCGCTGCTCCGGGATCTGTTCACTTACCTTGTCCTGCGCTCCTGCGATGTCCCTCCTCCTGCAGTGTCCCCAGCAATGTCCTCAGGCGGATGCCGGCATCTATCTTCTGGGTTTCGTCCCCTGCAACATCGGGACGTACGGGGGACGGAACGGCAGGAAATTTTAAAGTGACAAAAAGTGACACTAAAATCACATAGTAAAACATTGTATCAAACCATTTCACATACATTTTGTCCCTAGTGCTTTGTCCTGTGTCCTGCCTGCATTTTTACTGTTCTTTCTGCCTGGAACAGAAATGTCCATGGCGTCCAAAAAGCATCCCTTTAGGTCAAAATCGGTTTTAGACCAGATAGAGAACAGCGATAGTAAATCAGAACCACTTGCAGAATTGAGCGATAATGATTCGTGGGGAAATTAGTCAGACACTGAAAACGATTTTGCAACTATGCTCAGTGATGGGCAAACTTGGCGCAATATTTCAAGTTTCAGTGTTTTTGGTTTGATTATATTATTGAATTAAATTATATTTATTTATTAAATTATAATTTATGATTTTGGGTTTCAAATTGTAACATACCCGGGATGTTTACTAGACTCGTTCGGACAGATTTCAGTGAGTTATTCCTAAAAATTACAGGCCTACAATAAAAAAAAAAAAAAAACAATTTCCAAAAAAAAAAAAAAAAAAAAGGTACCGCTTTGAGCACAGAAATATGGACATAATCAGACTGCTAGGGAGGTTAAAGCGTATGTAAAGCTAAAACATTTTCTTTTGGATAGAATACATATCGATTAGAACTTCTGAAGATTCAGGTTTCTCTCACTTCATTTTGTGTCTGAGACAGGAAGTGAATGGAAATCTCCCCAAAGGGACACAGATGGCAAAACAAAGGGTCTCAAAACTTTACTGTATCCAAATAAAAAAATGTTGGCTATACATACAATTTAATACCAGTTTATTTCATTTTTGGCTCCACATCAAGTGTACACCAGTGGGGGTGCTTCACCGACCAGTTCTTTCGGGGTTTGTTGCATAGTACCCTCCCTGGTAAGAATGGAGACCACCATGTGGTCAGTGGGGCCTTGGGTAATTCCTCTGGGAAGACCCAGTTTCTCCTTATCTGAAACAGCTACCTTGTGGGGGCTTAAAAAGTCCGCATTTTCAGTGCCCGAAGAGGAGACGCGCTCATCCACTTCCTGTCCACGGTTTGAAGATGACATTGGCCACTGTTTTTATCTTTTTGAAATAATGACCATGGCCTTTTTGGCGAAGTCCAAAAATTTTTTGCAACGGGCCTCAGGGCCTTCTGTGCACATTTTGGCACGGTACCATTTTTAAATTTTTTCTTACTTTACTTTTCTTATTTATTTATTATCACTCCCACGTTTTCACTTTTTACATTGCCTTCCATGTGTGTTTTTGCATAGGGTGTGGTCCTCGGGCCTAACCTGAAGTATTACGTTTTTTCCTCCCCTGATCCCTAAGGAGAACCCCCTCGCCATACTGATGTCCGGCTTCAAAAAAATAAGGAAGGGGTCCACCCTTTTCAAAACTCAGGAGCTTTATGTTAAAACCCTTTTGGGGGTATTCCAGTTCACGTTTTTCGTGTGGCTTGCACTTCACTTTTTTGCGGACCTTGGGGGCCAGTTGCTACGTTTACGTTTAAAAAAAGAACAAAAAGTTTATTTCATAATTACATCCAGAGCTCCACACCAGATAATAAACTTCACCTGGAGTTCTCTCTCTAGGTTTGTGCAAGCTCCCAAGAATGGAGCCACCATGTGGTCAGTAACTGGGAAGTTCCCTGGAACTTTACACACATTTCTTTATCAGTGTGGGGTTAATCCCATTTAGATATTGGCTTCCGAAGAAAGAATCCTCCTTCCATATCTTACTCACTATATCTGAAATATAAGAATTGTAAAAATTAAGGCATATCTATGGTCAAAATGTAAAATCAGATATTCATTCTACATTGAATTCCAGTTATTTCTTGCATACCTCTATTAACCGTTTTCCCCCGCCGCCCTAGAGCAGAAATACTGCTAAAGCAGGGGTCCTCAAACTTTTTAAACAGGGGCCAGTTCACTGTCCCTCAAACCGTTGGAGGGCCAGACTATAGTTTAACAAAAAAAAAAAAAACTATGAACAAATGCGGACACGGTACAGGAGATGACCAGAGACTGCGGACACGGTACAGGAGATGACCAGAGACTGCGGACATACAACAGCGGTGGGAATACTGGCCTGGCCGCTCCATAAAAAACGCACAGACATTCCCCCCCCCCCCCCAAGTGTGTCTTATGGAGCTAAATATACGGTAAATGCAGGACACCTTGTTGGGTCAGATCTGTGTACAATGGGGAGAGCGAGGCGGGGGGGGGGGGGGGAAGAGAGACCTCCTCTGGAGGTTAAGTGGTTAAGCTGAAGGATCTTGAAGTTTGTAAACTTACTTTGTGAAGTATATGCTCCCACACATTTACTTCCTTGAATTCTATGACACATTCCCTATGCCCTGTGAGTAAGCATGTGTCACACATTTCACAGAGCCTGCCTTCTGAACTACAGAGGTGCTGATGGGAGGAGTTTCATGAGGAGGAATCAAAACAGGAATCACTGCTTGCAGGCAGCAAGGTACCATGGGATTTGTAGTCCTTAGAATTTCTATTTTAACATTAGAGAAGCTGCAAAGCATGCAGGAATCCTGGAAGTTCTGGAAAGATTGCCAGCTGATAGGCACCACTCACAATATGAAAGGATTTTTCAAGTAAGCTTATATTGGATTGTCCAATTTAACTGTCAAGAGATTGGACTTTGTCTTAGAAAAAAGCCCGA